TTAAAATAAAATAAAAACAAAAATTATAACTTATAATTTTTTTTTAGCAATAAACAAAACAAAATAAAAATAAAGTAAAACATAAATTGCTCAAATCAATTAAATTTGAGATTTTCTTAATATTGAAAAAGCAATCCCCGGCAATAACGCCAAAAACTTGTTTGGAGGGCAAGTGTAACTATCGAGAAGTAATAAAGGGTTCTTAATTTAAGTTCCCGAAATATCGTTCGAAAAGATTGATTTCTAATTACTAAGAATTTCCTAATTCAATTGTTTAAGATTCAAAGATACAAGATTAATTAAAAACAAAAATTTATAAAATCAATTATAAAACTAAGAGTAAGGAATACAATGCACGTCTTGGTTAAACTTATTGGAGAGGAACTTAGGGCATATGAGTTTTCTCATTCAATTCTTTATGTTATTTTTCTATTTAACTCTAAATTTGATTTCCTTGTGATTACCAATCATTCCTACGAATACTATTAATACCCAGTGGTCATGCAATATTAATATTCTTTTCTCTAAATTAACATCTCTAATGGTCATGCAAGACATTAATTTAAGAAAGCTTAAGGAACCTATGAACTTGTTAATTTAATAACGATTAGAAGAGAAAGATTGGTTTAGTCTACCTAATCCTTTGTCTCATTTTACCTTATATATCTATTAATTAACCGAGGTACGGTCACCTGACGATATAATTAATTAGGATTAAGAAAGAAGCACAATAGGATAAAATCTAATCACAAAAAAGAAATCAAATTTAGATTCAAATATAAAAATTCCATAAATTCATGAACAATAGTTTTCATAGCCCTAACTATAGACTTAGTTACTCATGCTAAAGAAAAGAACTAAAACAATCATGAACAAAGCCATAATAAAAAGAAATAGCAAACTAGAGTATGAGATGTATTCCTGGTCTTCAAGTACAATCGCTTGAAGCTCTAAGTCTCGCCAAGCATATGCCAAGGATCCCGTGCAAGAGAGACGAGATCAGAAGTGTATCCAAAAGTCAAAGACTAGATGTAAAAATGATCCCTTTACAATGCCTTAGATCTCCCCTTTTATAGGATTTGAAAACCCTAAAAACTATTCATAATTGGGCTTCCCGCAGATGAGCACGGTCGTGCAAGGCCTTAAGCACGACTGTGCATGGGCTCAAAGCACCCCATGCTTATTGAATAGATTTGGGCGTGTTAACTGCTGCGAAACTCTAATCTTTCATCAATTTGGATCTAGAATGCACTCAAAATCTACTTGCGGCCTCTTTATACCAAATTGCACAATATATATATATATAAATTAGTGTAAAACTCAAATAAAATAAAGGTCAAATATGAATATATGAGCTGCAAAAGAGGGCCTAATTACAAACTTATCAGAAAGACCATCAAGAAGACCTATATCAAATCCTTCTCCACCACCTGATGTGAACCAGATGACTCACGTTTTGGAGGCCATGGTTGTAGCCATGAGGCAGAGTCTAGAGGTTGTTCAGCAAGCTGCAAATCAAGCAAAAAGGGAATAGAAACAAAAGTTTTTAAGAAAAAAATAAAAATTTGTCTTAATAAAATTAGAAAATTTCAAAATTAATTCTTAAAAGTAAATAAAATACTACAAATAATCAAACTCTTAAACCAATGTTATTTATACATAAAAAGAGAAAATTTCAAAATTGTTAGATACAAGCAAAACAATCTTACTTGAAGATCCAAAGGAAAGAATTGAACAAGAACACAGAAAGTAAAGAAGAAAAGGCATACCTTTCCAATACCTACAACAGCTCTGCTGAAGCAATTATAGCAGCTCCAACACCTACTATATTTGGATAGTGGTTTCACTCTTTGTGCATTATAGCCTTTTGTGTTAGTGAAAATAAAGACAAATGTCAAGAGCAAGGAAAGTAATAAAACAAGTAGGAAGAGTTATGGGCGTTAAGTTTTTTTGTTTTTTATTTTTTTTATTCGTCAGAATACATTTTTTACGATAACTCTCTTCAATTTTTGCTCCATAATTTGTTCCACTTATAAGTTTACTTGATTAATAGAGCATTTTCTTCCCACAAAATAGTTGGAATCATGATTTCATTAATAGTTACTTTTTCATCTTTTTTATTCATTAAATTTTTTAATTATATATTAAATGTTTTATCAATTTATTATATTAAATAAGGTAATATTTGACTTTAAATTTTTACATGGTAGAATAACAAATTTTTGCATTTACAAGACAATTTCTGATTTTTATATGGATTTTCTCCAATTTTAAATTATTTCTACGAGATAATTATACCATATCATGCGTTAGCCAATTCTATATATTTTGCGGATGAGATAAGAGTAATTTCAACATTGTAATGCTTAACTGGTGACATATCTCAATTTTTTTTAATTATCATAATGTTAACAATTTTACTAAAATTAATATAAATAAAACAAATGAATATTGATTATAAAGTTTATAAAAATCATTAAGAACGTAACTCTGGTGGAATAACATTTAATTTAATAGCAGCGTAATAAAAGTCAATGTTTATAAATATTTTATTAAGTGAAATAACTTAATCTCCACCCTATGTTAGATCAGATCTAAAAAATATCATACAAATAAAAAACTAACCAATAATATTTCAGACAAGTTTATGCTAACATCTAATATAATTTTTAAAAATATACATAAATATTGATTATAAAATTATATATTTATACATATTTAATTTATTTAGAATTTATTATACATGATTAACATTAACATATCACTTTATTGAATAGCTGTAAATGTGATATATTTATGTTTATCATAAATATTAAGTTTTAAATAAATCAAACATTTGTAGATATATAATTTTATACTCCACATTTATTTATAGTTTGAAAAAGTATATTAGATATTAAAATAAAGTTATTTTATAAATTGTTGATTAATTTTTTTATTCACAATTTTTTAGACTTAATCTATTTAAGAGGAAATTTTAATTTAATAATTAAAATAATTAACTTCAATATTTATAAAAGAATGAATAAATAAAGTACTCTTGATAAAGTTATTCTAAACTATTTTTCACTCACACATAAGGATAAATATTTAAAATAAAAAAGTAAAAGAAAAAATGTCTGTTTTATTTTAAAACCATTTTATAATTTTGGTTTCAACTACAGGGCATTTTCTAGTATAAAAATTAAAATATATTATTTAATTGTTTTGAATTTAATAGTTTTTATAAATGAAAAAATTATTATTATATTTTGGTATAAGGCTTAATCAAATAAAAAAAAAAAAGGAAGAAATGAATAAAAAAAATAAAGAGTATGTGTGCTAAGGCACATGGTCCCATATTGGCACTTTCAGGTGACCCAAAGAAGCCTTAAAATAAGATTAAATTAAAATAAATAATTTTTAAAATAATAAAATAAATTATAAAAATTTAAATTAATATTAAATTTAAAAAATGAATGCTGACATGATGAAGAAAATAACTCACAAGAATATTTTCATGTACAATAACACCTAAAATACTTTTATTTAAAAATAGTGATTCAAATGAAATATATGAAAATACACCAAATTTAATATATAAGATAAACAGTATGAACTTGATTTTCTTGACATCTGAAATGCCTAATTATGTAATCTACTAAATTTTTAAGGGGTGCTTACTTATACCTCCGCATGTTTATTATTCATCTATCTTTTAAATTTACATGAGGAAATGTTCTTATAACATAAACCCGAAATCTATTTTTACAATCATTTATAATTGATTTTTTATATTTAATATTAATTAGTATAGTTATTAATTAAGAATTTAGAATATAAATGTGATAATAAGCTACCAGTTCAAGACATTACTTAAGGGTATTTTAAAATATCAAGATAAAATATAATTAAAATATATCAAAATAGATGGCAGAAAAAAAATTTATAAGAAAACTCTCACTCTCAATAAAAATTATATATAAAGTGCAAATAATCTGCGATTTTAATACTTTTAAAGAAGAAAATTAGAGCATAAATATATAAATAAAAATTAGATTATCCATAAAGGATAATTTTATAGTTTTAACAATATAATATATATGAATTTAATAAAATATTTAATTTTAAAAAAGTTCTTAACAATGTAAACTTAAATAGATTGAAAACTATAATTTATAATAAAAAGAAAAAATATATACTACTTGCATCCAAGGGAAGGGTGTATTTTTTATTCTAATAAAAATAATTTTTTTAATAAAAACCCTATTTTATAATGAAAACTTTTGAACAAATTTTATAAAAAAAATAAATCATCACTTTACGCAAAAATTACAAAACTGTTACTAAAATATTTTATTTAAGTTAAAAATAATCATAATTTTATTATATTACTTTTTCTTTAATACAAAAAAATCCAAATGAAAATTTTACTTAAAATTAAATTACCATGTTAATCAATTATCTCTTATTTTTTTTTATCAAATGGAAAATGCTTTTTGTATTACTTTAATACACATATTTGCAATTTTTGATAATCAAAATATATTTTGAAAATATATAATTAAAAATATTTATAAATAATATCAAGAATAATATTAATTTTCAATAATTTAAATAATGAAATTATATACAAATCAGACTTATACAATTTATGTAAATAAAATTTACAAAAATATTTATGAATCTAACCAAACAGTTCTCCACCTTTACCAAATATAATCATATTATAATACAATTAAAAAAATCAAGTGCTTTACCTATAACAACTGTTACTTCTTGCAGAGTATGAAGCGCAGCACTGAAAAGTGAAAGATAGCTGTCAACGTGTAGATGCAGGGTTATCACTGTGTCAGTGTATCTCTGATACAGTAACAAAACAGTACATAATATAATTTTTTAAAAAAATGTGGAAAATTCAAAGAAACAAAAAGTAATAAATAATAATTTACAATTAATGCTGAATCATGTCAAAGCACTAAAACATTACAAAATAGGAAAATTAAAAACCATTAGTCTTCGGAAGCAGAACAAGACATCTATGAATTGGACGGATTCTCTCTCTCTTCTCTTTACTTTAATCCAACAATAATAAATATTATTAAAAAAAAACGTTGAACCGATACCATCATCATTCATCATCATCACCCGCATCATCAGAATTCCAAGGTGGGTTCCCTTCATTTTCTGCAATAGCGTATGGTAACATGAGTGAAAGAACAAAACTTTTTTTAATTTTTAATTTTTTATATAATAATCTTCTTAAAGAAAGAGCTTGGATTTGGTGTTTCCTTTTTTATTGATTTGGGCACCTGGGTGTTATTGGGTTGGTGTCAAATTAGTCTTTTGCTTGTCAAAGAGTGCTGCTTTGACTTTCATGAACTTTTTATTGGGTGGGATATTATCTCTTTCCGTGAGTTCTGCTTGTGGGTACACTAGATTGTTCCGAAGTTTGTGTTTTTTTGCCAAGTGTTTTCTCTCTGTCTCTTCTAAATCACTTGAATTACTGCAACTGAGGGCCTTTTTTTTTTGTTTTCTTTTTTGCAACAGTTTGAGATTCATTTTGTGTTAAATGTTTTCTTTTTGTCACAACGTTGAGTTTGGTGATGTTTCTCTCTTCTGCACTTTATGTTTTGTTTGTTATAAGTTTTGGTAATTGGTTGTTCTGCCTCTACTGAAGAAGCAAGGTTTGTGTTTTTGATCCTGTGAATTGTTTTGCTCAGGGTTTTCAGGTTTTATATATTGTTAAGCTGAAAGTTTATTGAGGGTATTATGGTGTATGTGGAGTACAGCCACATTTTGTGTAGAAGATGAGAAGGGAAGCACAAGAGGAATGCCGAGCTTCAATTCGCAATTACCAAATTCCAATGCATGGTATATACATATATATTTGAATAATGTTTGGGCAAATATCTAGTTGGCTTCAGGGTTTTAATTTATGTTTCTAATGCTGCTTACCATGTTCAGTCATTCTATGTTATGTTGTGGATGAAATGAGGAAAATTTTGAACATTGTGATATTGTTGGCTTCTGAGTTTCTAGAATAAGGTGTATCCATGATTTTCCATAGTACTGGATAATGCCGACATCTTCTATTATGTGGATGAAGTGAGTCTATACACTTTTAAGAGCATTTTTTTTTTTGTGTTTAATGAAAATGAGTTAAGTTAAAATATACAATTTATTCCTTTTCACAAACCTCCTTTAGAACGTGTTTTGTGGTCTTGGAAAATGTACAAACTCAGTTTATGAAGCTAAACAAACAGACTCTAAGTTTACTTGGTTAACCACAAATCCTTAACTTGACACTATTTGTATGGTATCATAGTAAGGTTTGATATTGATACAGGAAGTTGTTATTTCAGTTAGTAATTAGTTTGTTAGATTTACTGCTATATATAGCAGATTGTAAAGAATAGCTGGCATTCATTTTTTCAATTGTAATTCTGGAACTCCATTAATTCAATAAAACTACTGCTGTTCGGATTCCATTCTTTCTCTGGATTCCCTACTTCTTCTCTTGGTTCTTTTTCGAGGTTCATTAATCCTACCTAGAAGAACCCTATCAATTGGTATCAGATGGTAACCTTCCAACCACGTTTTCGCCATGGCCGATAACACCCGCTCTGTCCGTGAAGATTTTGAAAGCTTCAAGGCTTCCATGGAGACGCGTTTTTTGGATATGGGAACGTCATTGGAGGCCCGATTCATGGATATTGGGGCTTCATTGAAGCACAGTCTTGAAGAGATGTTCCGTAACTGTGACACCCACGCTTTTTCTAGTAATGGTAATCAATCTCGCCCTTACTCTTGTCATACACGGTTGGCTCGGCTGGATTTTCCTCGCTTCAATGGTGATGGTGTGAAGCAATGGTTAATCCAATGTGAAACCTTCTTTTCCGTCGATGGTACACCGGAGGATTACAAGGTTCGGTTGGCAGTGGTTCATTTCGAAGGCAAGGCTCTGCAGTGGCACAGTGCCTATGTCAAGAACGTAGGTTTACCGAATCTTCCATCTTGGGATGAGTACACAAAGATCTTGATTGCTCGTTTTGGTGAAGTATGCGAAGATCCTATGGCTGAATTGATGAGATTAAGACAAAAGAATTCTGTTCAGGATTATCATGAAGCTTTTGATCGATTAGTTTCTCAAGTGGAGCTCTCTGAAGCCAATCAATTGAGTTGTTTTTTGGGTGGATTGAAGCAGGATGTACAGATGATGGTAAGGATGTTCCAACCCACCTCTGTGATGAAAGCTTTTTCGTTGGCCAAGATGTATGAATCTGCAAACAACACTCATTACCAACCTAAACTATTTCCCAAACAAAATACACCACCATTATTACCTAATCCTCCCAAAAGCCTGGAACTCAATCGACCAAAATTACAAGCTTCTAGAAGTTTAACCCTTGCCTATATGAATGAAAGGCGGGCTAAAGGTCTCTGCTACTTTTGTGATGAGCCATTCACTCCGGCTCATAGCCTGACTCACAAGAAATTACAGATTCATGTCTTGGAGTTGGATGAGGTCACTGATTCTGATGAAGAAACTCCAACCTCGACAGATATAGAGGAACCTTTAATTTCAGTTACTGCCTTGATTGGAGTTACTAACTTTAGAACTATGAGGGTCACTGGTCTATTCAAAAAGAGACCTCTACATATCTTAATTGACAGTGGAAGCACTCATAATTTCTTGGATGTTCACTTGGCTAAGAAATTAGGCTGTCGGATTGTTAACATGGATCCTTTGAGTGTCACTGTGGCTGATGGTGCTAGGGTGCAAATCAATAGTATGGTCAAAAAATTTACTTGGATGCTGCATAATACATCCTTCAAATCTGACATGTTGCTGTTACCCTTGGGATGTTGTGACATGGTGCTTGGTATCGAATGGTTGATTACATTAGGGGATATCATTTGGAACTTTGAGATGTTGACCATGGAGTTTGTTGTGCATGGTAGGAGGCTTGTCTTGAGGGGCACCACAGGTACAGGAATTAAGACAATCAGACAGCAGCGATTACATAAGTCCCTTTCAACTGGAGTTCAAGTCTCCCTGTTACAGGTGTGTGAGACAGGAGAAGGTGCTTTATTGCAGTCTTTATCACCTCATGCTGATTCCATTACTGTTCCTGCCAGCATTGAGAAGTTGCTGCTGGATTTTCAAGATGTATTTCAAGAACCAACTACTCTTCCCCCTAAAAGAGCTGAGCATGATCATAAAATTCCGCTGGTTCAAGGCACAAATCCTGTGAATAGAAGGCCCTATAGATATGCAAAGCAACAAAAAGACATCATTGATGGAATCATATTGGAGTACTTGAAATCTGGCATCATTCAGAACAGTAGCAGCTCTTACTCTAGTCCAGTTGTTTTGGTTGGAAAAAAAGATGGTGGCTGGAGACTTTGTATAGATTACAGGGAATTGAATAAAGGGACAATAAAAAACAGGTTTCCTATTCCTCTAGTAGATGACCTGTTGGATGAGTTACATGGTTCCAAAATCTTTTCTAAAATTGATCTGCGGTCTGGGTACAATCAAGTTCGTATGGCTGAAGAGGATGTGCACAAGACAGCTTTTAAGACTCACTCAGGGCATTATGAGTACTTGGTTATGCCCTTTGGACTGACAAATGCCCCTGCCACTTTTCAAGGGCTCATGAATGCTGTATTTCAGGAATTCTTAAGGAAATTTGTCTTGATATTGTTTGATGATATTTTAGTATATAGCACTTGTCTTGAGGATCATTTGAATCATTTATACCAAGTTCTGTCCACTATAAGAAACCATTCCCTATTTGCCAAGAAATCCAAGTGCTATTTTGGAGTTGGAAGGGTGGAGTATTTGGGGCATTTCATCACAGCAGAAGGTGTTGCCACAGATCCTGCTAAGATAATTGCTGTGCAACAGTGGGCCTTACCTCGGTCTGTGAAGCAATTAAGAGGATTCTTGGGATTAGCGGGCTACTATAGACGATTTGTCAACCGATATAGCACCATAGCCAGACCATTGCATGACATGCTCAAGAAGGATGGATTTTCTTGGACAGAGGAAGCTAAGTGTGCTTTTTAGGAATTAAAAACTCAATTGAGCAAAGCACCAGTTCTGGCCTTACCTAATTTTTCTAAGGAGTTTGTGCTTGAGGTAGATGCATCTGGACAAGGAGTTGGAGCTGTTTTAATGCAGGATCGTCATCCCATAGCCTACATTAGTAGGAGCTTTAATCAGCAGCAGCAAGCACTTTCAACCTATGAAAAGGAACTGCTAGGAGTTGTGTTTGCAGTCCAGAAATGGAGGCACTACTTACTGCCTAAGAAGTTCACTATAAGGACCGATCATCAAAGCTTAAAGTACATCTTGGATCAAAGGTTGTCTACAGCATTTCAGCAGAAATGGCTAATTAAACTGATGGAGTTTGATTTCAATATTGAATACAAACAAGGGCGTGAGAATGTAGCTGCTGATGCATTATCAAGGATACAGTATTCAGCTCTATTAGTTCATCAACCTACTTCTGAACTACTGAATACAATTAAAAACACTTGGCAAACTGATGAAGATTTACAAAGAATCATCAATGAGTTACAGGCTGACAGTGCTACTCATAGACATTTTTCTTGGCAGAGGGGAGAGCTGAGAAGGAAAGGGAGATTGGTAGTTGGTAAAGACCAAGAAGTAAGAAAACAGATTCTGGTATGGTTACATGCTACTGCTTGTGGAGGACATTCAGGCAGAGATTCTACTCTTCACAGGGTAAAATCAGTAGTATATTAGAAAGGTATGACTAAGGATGTTAGGAGATTTGTCCAACAATGCCAAGTGTGCCAGCGAAACAAGTATGATACTACTGCATCACCTGGTTTGCTGCAACCATTACCAGTTCCAGACCACATATGGCAGCATATTACCATGGATTTTATAGAGGGATTACTTAACTCTTTTGGTAAGCAAGTCATCTTTGTAGTAGTTGATCGATTGAGCAAAGCAGCCCACTTTATGGCCTTACAACACCCTTACACAGCTGCAACAGTAGCCCAATGCTTCTTGGATAATGTTTTCAAACTACATGGGTTTCCTGCTACCATTACAAGTGACAGAGATTCTGTGTTTGTAAGCCAATTTTGGAAGGAGTTTATGGCATTTCAAGGTGTTCAAATCCAGCTTTCTACTGCTTACCATCCTCAAACAGATGGTCAAACAGAAGTAGTTAACAGATGTGTTGAAACATACTTGAGGTGTATGTGCTGTGATGAACCTAAACAGTGGTCCAAATGGCTTCCTTTGGCTGAATGGTGGTATAATACCACATATCACAGTTCTATAAAGACTAGTCCCTATGAAATTGTGTATGGACAGACTCCTCCTACTTATTTACCATATCTTCTAGGTGAGTCTAAGGTGGAGTTAGTGGATAGAAGTTTACAGAAGAGAGAGGAAATGCTTAAGCTGGCCAAGTTTCATATGAAAAGAGCACAAGAGAGGATGAAACAGTTGGCAGATAAACATAGATCAGAAAGGGAATTTCAGATTGGAGATTTGGTCTTTGTCAAGCTTCATCCATATAGACAAATTTCTGTAGCATTTAGAAGTAATGCAAAGCTGGCTCCTAAATACTATGGACCTTATCCAGTCCTTGAAAAGATTGGTGCTGTGGCTTATAGAGTGCAATTACCAGCTAATTCCTTGATACATAATGTCTTTCATGTTTCACAACTGAAGAAATCAGTGGGGGAAGCAAACACTTCAGCAGATTGTCCAATATTAGAAGAAGAAGCTATTATCAAGGAACCTGAGACCATCATTGACAGAACTACTGTGAAGAGGGGCAACAAGGCTGTCACTAAAGTGCTGGTCAAGTGGAAGCATCAGCTGCCTGAAGATGCTACTTGGGAGTTTTATTATGACTTAAAGAAGAAGTTTCCAAACTTCAGTTCTTGAGGACAAGGACTTGCTTAAGGGGAAGGGATTGATACAGGAAGTTGTTATTTCAGTTAGTAATTAGTTTGTTAGATTTACTGCTATATATAGCAGATTGTAAAGAATAGCTGGCATTCATTTTTTCAATTGTAATTCTGGAACTCCATTAATTCAATAAAACTACTGCTGTTCGGATTCCATTCTTTCTCTGGATTCCCTACTTCTTCTCTTGGTTCTTTTTCGAGGTTCATTAATCCTACCTAGAAGAACCCTATCAGATATATTTTGTAATAAAGAGCTTGATTGTATTAGAGGCAGTAGCACCAGTAGTGCCTAAAATTCCTTGCATAGTGTACATAATTAATTGAGGTAGGCACTTTCATAAAATGTTAAATATGTCCCCAACATAAAAGTGTTTTGGTCTTCCATGTCTTGAGTTACTTCTGTAATTCATCAAATTTTAGGAACTTCTGTTGTCTGAATCTGGCATATGGTTTTCAGCTATAGAGAGGGAATCACAGTTGATTCTTTTCGTGTGTCTGACTTTGATCAATCAGTTGGATATTGCGTAGAGGATGCTGTTGACTTGAGTGGAAGTAAGTATTCTTATCATAAATGTTAGAAAAGTGTACATGTGGGTATGTGGGTGTGTATATTTTGTATTACATCATTTCATGGGCATTCATCTGCATGAAATCATTTTTGTAGGACTTGCTTTTTTGTTTGTCTAGTGATATATTATGGACCTCTAACACGTAATATTTAATTTTAAGGAACAAAAATTGTTAATATTATTAAGGACCATAGAAAGTTTATCTAAGGCAAATAACCGTTTAATTTCACCTGATAAAAAATAATACTCCTAATGAAAAGTAATTGCCAGTTGCAAATTTCTTCATAATTTCATGTAACTTTATTTAAAATTGTTAGACACTAAGTGTTAACAAATGACTGCTCCATAAAAAGCAATGTCAGTGACAAATTTAATGTAACTTTAATCACTAATTAATAACAAATAACCGCCCAATAAAAAGGAATAGCTACTGACAAATTTCTTCTTAATTTTATGTAATTTTACAGATGAAACTTCTTTTAAAATCTTTAGCCTCCTAATGGTAACAAATAACCACTCAATAGATTTTATGCATTTGTGTGAGTTAAATATTTGCTTTGTACTTTCTCTAATTCCAAGCAGTATCTTACATATGAAGTCCAAATAGTATACCCTTTAATTTACTTGTTGTTCTACCTCCATTCAAATGGTATTTTGCTATGGTCCAATCAATATTGCTATCTATGTGAAAATAACAAAAACATGTCACAAAGTGTGTGATTGCTACTGTGTTCTGTGCTTAAGCAAAAACTACCACTACCATAATGTAAAAAGCAAAAGAAAGTTTCAAATACTTTATAACTAACATATAAGCCAATCATATATCTTAATTTCTTTTCATTCAAACGTATCTTAATGACTCCTGTTAACCATTGTTTGGGACATAATGTAAAACCATTTAAATGTCTTCACCTAATAGCTGAACCTTTTATGTGAAGAGTGAAGACACATGAATGGTAACTTTTAACAACAAATATTAGATAGAAAATGTCAAAAGTTCATTACTAATAGAAACTTGAGGGCAATTATCTGCACACCCTCTCTTGTGTGCACTCTTTCACTGTTTTAAGTACTGACATAATGCTAAGCATCATCAAGAAGCAGTTTGGCAATGAAATTGAAGAAATATATAGAAATACATATATTTTAAAACTTACCAATCATTTCCAATAAATTGTTAATTGCTTATGCTTGATAAAAGGGAAGAATAAGGGGGGTTAAGAGTTTCAAAGAATTTTGTGTAGCATTAGAAGCAAAGAGAGAAAAGAAATTGAACATGAAATTAAATTTGTGTAAACGAGAATAAAACTAAACATATTTCATTAAAGGTAATAGTTTTTTATTTATATAGTTCTTTTCAATAATTTATTTATTTTTATTAACATTAAATAACTCTTCTCAGTTGTCCCTATTTTACAATAACTATATAACGACAACAACTAAACCTTATCTCACTAGGTGAGGTCGGCTATATGGATCACACAACACCATTGAGTTCGGCCAAAAATCAAATTTTCAGAAATCTGGTTAATTAAAAGGTCTCTTTTAATAATTTTGTCTAAAGTTCTTTTGCGTCTCCCTCGACCCCTCTTTACCGGACTAAGACTCATGCAATCCACTTTCCTTACTAGTGCCTCCAAAGGTCTTCTTTGCACATGATCAAACCACCTTAAACGATATTTAGTCATTTTTTTCACTACAGGTGCTATTCCAATATTTTCTCATATATTATCATTTTGTATCATGTCCTTTCTTGTGTATTCACTCATCCACCTTAGTATACTCATTTCTGTCACTCCACTTTTTCTCTTGTTCCTTTAAGGTCCAACATTCACTATCATAGGATAGTTAGTTGTTTGTAGTACGGTAAAACTTTCCTTTCATCTTGTTAGGTACTTTACAGTGACAAATAATTCTTGATGTCTTTCTCCATTGTAACCACTCAGCTTGTATTCTGTAAGTAACGTCATAACTAATTTACAATAATTATCTATTCATAAATTTTACTTGATTTGTGGAATGATTGATATTTGGGACTGCATAAACTTCTCATAATTCCATCAGTAGCACTAGCATGGCAAAGATGTCATTGATAAATACACGGGAAATCCCTGTGAAGGATAAGAAAAAGGAATAATTGTACACTCACAGACACGCACATGATCAAATAGACACAGGCTGTTACTCTTGGATAAAGAGCTTGATATCTAAGTTATAATCTGTTTAATTTTTTCTCTTATTCTTGCTAAAAAATATTGACTTTTCTCCACCCATTTGTTCGCAAATGCTTTTTCTGTGATATGATTCTGATTCAGTTTTTATCTCTCTGAAAGAAAGTAGCCAAACAATTTCACGTGGTCCTGTTCGCTTTGGTACCTTTGATAAGGTAAGTTTCTCTTGTTCTTTTTATCTATTGAACTTCCAGCTTGGTAAATAATGTGATCAGTAGCTGAACATTTACAACACATCTTTTTTTGTCCTTTTTCAATTTAGTTGCCAATTTCACATGATAAAAGCCCATTGACGAACCAAACAGTGCAACAGAGTTTGCAATTACAGAAGATTCAATTGTCAAATCTGGTCAGTGGTGATACTGAAGAACATCACGAAGAGTCTGCCATGGCTGATGCCAGTCCTAGAACTGATATTTCTACAGATGTTGATACTGATGATAAGAATCCTCGGGTAAAGTTTACTTTCATGCAATTTTCTGCCTTTCTGTTTCAGGACTTATTTAAATTGTGCACATCATCAAGGACTCAACTCTATCATTGATCTTATCAGAAGAAGACTTTTCCATTCTGTTCCTTAAAGTATAGAAGGTATTTTAGTTGTTATTCCTGACAATCTGACATTTGTGCATTCCATGTGTGTAGTTTGATAGAAGTCAATCCCTTGCTATCGTGGTGTCTGACTCCAGTGACAGATCAAAAGATAAAACAGATCAGAAGGTAAAACATATTCTGAAGAATAAATAACCATATTGGTTCTCCAAAGACATGCAGAATTGCATTGCCCCTGCAATTATATTACATCAAATTGGTCCTCTGAAGGTATATGCAACATGAAGTTGGTCCTTTATGTTGGGTTTGGTTGGAGAATTTTAAAATTCCATAAAAATATGAAATCAATAATGAAGGATGGTTAAAGTGAGAGTCATGTATGAGAGGAGTTATGAATGATAAATACAAAAAGTTAAGCATAATAAAGAGATTTCTCTCCAAAGACAAGTCATTTATAATTCTTTCTATTTAGCATAAAAATTATGTAGTTAAAATTCTACAGCATATTAAAAATACTTTTTCTTACTATCTAAATACATTTACTGTAGTGATTTTGAATTACTCTATCCAAGCACAACCTTAAGGACTAAATTGATGGCATTAATCATTCTTGAAGGACCAAAGTTGATGTCATTGAAGGACCAAAATGAATGTTTACTCTATTTAAATTTTTCATCCAGTTAATATCTAATATTTTAAGTAGTAGTTATTACATGATCATTGGTTGTGATTTATTGCAGACTCTCCGCAGGCTTGCTCAGAATCGTGAGGCTGCAAGAAAAAGTCGGTTGAGAAAGAAAGTACGAACACGTACTTATACTTTTTTGTCAATATTTGTAGAAATACGTGTAGATCTTTATTTTCTTCTTTCTCCATATAAATATTGCCATGGTTTCATCGTGACTCAGAAAGTCCAGATTTGAAATTTAATTGGCTTCAAAATTTGTGGAGTGAATGCGTGTATTCTGATTCTCAGGGTGCTATATATTCTCATCTACGTTTGTATGAATTTGGATGATCAGTTTGGGTCTACAGATTATGTCGGCCTGCTGGCAAATTAGAATGCAATAGGCAATAATTTTTTGTTTTAGTATAATAATTTTGCCATAGAAAAATCAATTTGTTAAAGGGAAAAGTGGAAAGTACAGCTAGAGGAAGCATAAGATATCCTCCAACATGGAAAATTGTTGATATAACAACTCAGCAAGGAACAAGAAAATACTCAAGAATTCAGCAAGACTGCCTGCTTGTCTGTGCTTAATTCTCTGGTGTAGGGTACTCAAGATTGCAGCTAAAGTATACTTCCTTTTATGCTGAAAAAATACACACAAAATAAGTACCACTTTCTTTGAGCTCTGACTAATTTGAACATATATTATTGTAATTAAATCTTATTAGTAACACTTTTATTTTAACCCTCTCTAATGTTATAACAATGGCAGTTAGCTGGATGTTTTCTTAACTGCACTTGGAATGGAGTCTGTAAAATAATAAATCTGGATGTTCAACCTTTATAAAATAGAGTGCTTTGAAATGGTAACTGGTTATGTATAATCAGTGGGGTTAGTTGTGGAATCCAATGGTTCCTATATTGTTTTAATTTGTTTCTCCTCTATGATAGTTTTTAGAAATAATGTATGTTTAGATCACCCCACTTGACCATTAAATGCAAGACTTGATACCATGTCATTACTCCACAGGCTTATGTTCAACAGCTGGAAAGTAGCCGTTTGAAATTAACCCAACTGGAGCAAGAGCTTCAGCGAGCCAGGCAGCAGGTGAGGTTCAATTATTCCTTGGAATTAGATTCTGCCTTTTCTTTTTTCTAATTGCACTTTTCTTTGCTAATCATGTTCAATTTAAACCCAAATATCTTGTTCTTTCCTGTAGGGAATCTTTATATCAAGCTCAGGTGATCAAGCACATTCAATGAGTGGAAATGGTAACCTACCTAAAATATGTTGTTCCTTCCACAAGTGTTAATATCAAAATATGTCAATAAAAAGTAGTGGTAGAATTTGTATGTGTTATGTTGTAACAAGCTATTTTCAGTGAACAGTTATAATTTCTCCTCAGATGAGGTAATCTGTAATTACATTGTTTTATAGGGGCCATAGCATTTGATGTAGAATATGCAAGGTGGTTGGAAGAGCAGAATCGACAAATTAATGAGCTAAGAGCAGCTGTAAATTCTCATGCCAGTGATACTGAACTTCGCATGATTATTGATGGTATATTGGCACATTATGATGAGATATTTAAGCTGAAGGGCATTGCAGCTAAGGCTGATGTCTTCCATTTGTTGTCTGGCATGTGGAAAACACCAGCTGAAAGGTGTTTTCTGTGGCTTGGAGGTTTTCGGTCGTCTGAACTCCTCAAGGTGACTTTATAGTGATCCTTTGCTCAAATTGCGCTGTGGTTCTCATTGTTTACTGATAGAAGTTAGGCCTATTCTAAACAGTAGTGTTTCCTGATCTGGTAACATACAGAGTAAAAGCTCTTTCAACTTTTTGGGATTATTAGAAGATAGATGTTACTTATTTTAACACGAGGGTTGGTGTTAGAGAAGTAATTGTGCACACATTGTGGGTTGGCTTGCATCTATTTTTGTAGTTGCTTCCTGATATTGCTGGTTGATCAGGAATCTGAAAGGTTAGATATAGGATTCTTAGAATTGTGCTAGGAAATTTATCATATAAGGACCGTTAATCATATTTATCATATTACACTTGTACTTGCTAGGATATTAGTCTAAATATGTTTATTGGGTTACTTTTTTAATGAATCTTCTTATCATTACATCATAAATATCATGACAGTATTAGATCAAATTTAGACAGTTAATTTATGCCTCTCCAGATTTTCATTTCCTCTTGTACACTTAAACATCTTGCATTAATTCCAGAAGTGGCACATAGTCAAATTCTAAGGAATATCCAATGCTTAAATATATAAAACCCTATTGGGTTTGTCATTAATAACTCTAAATAAAGGTAAATATTTGTTGTCCATAGATACCTTGTGAGAATAAGTTTAAGAGCCAGGAACTCAGAGTTAAGGGTTTATCCTGAGCTCACTCTGTCACCCAGTCATTTGCAAAGTGTTAGGGACCATTTGGTTTGAGAAAAGGTTTGTTGCATTTTCTTTTTATCTTTAATTACAAAAATATCACCTTATTTTCCATGCTATTTCTTGTTTTCAATGAAATTTATAAACAGAAAACAATGGTTTCCTATGTAAATATTTGAAAACAGGAAACGAAATGAAAACAAGGTGGTATTTTTGTAATAAAAAATGAGAACAGAAAATTAAAATAGAAAATATTTTGTAAAATTAAACAGCCCTGTACTTTGGCTTTTAATGATCAACATTTGAGCTCCATTTCTAATTTTTTGAAACAAAGTGTTCCACAAATGGAACATCAACAAGAGTTTTCCTAGTTAAAGCATGATCTAGGAATAAACTTAAAGTGTGACTGCATTCAATATCATGGTAGTTGAATCTGTCTAAAGATATTGACCTGATTAACATAAGAATACAAGGAAAATGTGGAGAAGAAAATGAAATCTTATGACCCCAATCAGTGAAGCAGTGTAGTAAGAAAACAACAACAAAGTCTTATCCCACAAGGTGAAGTTGACTATATGAATCATAGGACACCACTAGGCTCAGATGAAGCAGAGTATTAATAAAAGGAAAAAAAAATAGTTAAATTAGTTGAAAGTGCCAACTGGATCCATCATAATGAGGAAAGGAATTAAATATATATTATATATATGAAAAATTAGAATTTTATACCATATCAAAGCAGTGTCTTTGAACTGGATCTTAAATGAAAATCTCTCATTTTGGGGGAATGATCTAACTGGTACCCAAGGCCTACCCAACCATGCCTAGTCACATTGAAGTCGTAACTTGTCACATTGGAGCCATACTCAAGTCATATATCTTTTTAAAAAAAATTAATTTTGGTGCATTCCCAAGCATTCCATCAGTACACGTATTCCAATATGAATCAGGGTTTGGGCAGAGTCGAGATTCAGAGGTGAACAATATGCATAAAATGGCATGGTGATTTTCATTCTCTTTTATGTTTGTCAATGGTAATGCTTGGTTTAATGATAGGCAATGGCTAGGTTACCTGCATTGGTGGATATAAGTTGAAGATATCTGTTTCTGTCATTATAAATTGCTGGTAGGGGCTGAGGTCTGACATTTGTGGAGCAGTTTGGCTTGGTTGAATGTAGGATTGTTTAGAGTCACACTTGAGCATGAGCATATTCTACGTACAGAGATGCTGGGAATCACTAATACAATACTGGATGTGAATATCACAAATGTGGGGATATGTTAAATTTTAAAATTTTTAGTATATAACATGGCTTGGTTACAACATGAAATTAAAAATATTAAAAAATGGAAATTCTAAGAGTAGAGAACTTGATGTTTCAAAATTCACTAGTGATTTAGATACAACTAAATATTAAATAATGTTAACTATTTAACTGGTGCTCCTTTTTATTCAAACATGCCTAACAGGTTTGAACCATCAGTGCCAGTGCTTTTCTAGTTTTCCTAATCTATAGTTTTGCTTGTTTTTATCGAACTTTATTTTTGCAACCAACTTTGTAATCATATTTTGAAGTTACCCATATTTCTGTAACAATTTTAAAGGGGGACTTGAAATCCTGGGGACCAAGCTTCAATTATCGCTACCATAATAGGTGATTCATTTTCAATTTACTAGTCGAATACATGACTTATACCTTTGTTTCAGACATTCTGGACACGTTTTTCAAAATTGTGAAGAACAGAATTTTTATTTGATATGTGGAGTCATTTATTAGTTTGACCATTGATTTGAGTGCCATGAATTTGGTTGCAGCTCTTGGTAAGTCAGTTGGAACCTCTAACAGAGCAGCAGCTAGTGGGTATTACCAACTTGCAGCAATCTTCCCAACAGGCAGAAGATGCATTGTCTCAGGGGATGGAAGCATTGCAACAGTCCCTTTCTGAGACATTGTGCACTGGATCACTTGGCTCCTCTGGTTCATCAGGGAATGTGGCAAATTACATGGGTCAAATGGCTATGGCCATGGGCAAACTAGGGACACTTGAGGGGTTCATTCGTCAGGTAAATTTTTTCTTACTCGCACATGCATACAATCAGTTAGGTACATTTTTCTCAAATAATTGTAGTATCTTTTAGTCCAACTTTGGTTCCCTAATAGTTTTTTTTTTTTTTTTTTTTTTTACATTTGATAGAAATGTTCTTGGTCTATGCAAATAGAAATGTTTCACTAGGAAACACAGATACAACACCAAACGTTAGGATTAAATTGCAAGGTATAGTACTAGAGAGTTTCACATTGAAAATATGGGATTTGAGTTTATAAGGTCTTGGACTTTCCAGTTCCAACTACAATGACTAATTTTTGTGGCATGATACTTCCAAGTTTCTTATCACAAACACATGATATCACAAATTTTAAAAATCCTAGGAAGTAGGATGTGACACGACTATGATACAACATATAAATTAGATAATTCACAAGAGAGAATTGAGTCATTATAGATATATTAAAATGCTAAAATTATCTAATTATCAATGGTATTTCATTTTGGAGTTCTGTTAACCTTAGCTTTTAGGGTTGAATGATGATAGAAAACTAATTGATCAACTTCACATTGAGTCACCAAATTGTTGGATCACCGTGCTAAATCTACCAAGCTATGCCCTAGGAAGCTGTTTCAGTTTGGTGTTTCTTTTTTGAAATTAAAACTCAATTTAGTATTTTTATTTTTATTTTACAAAGTGACAATGTTCGTGATTATTTATCTCATCACTTTAGTTTTATGGCTTTGTATTTCCTTTATCACATCTCTTTTGTTCATATTCCCTAATAGAATGACATTGATGAACGTAAAAATAGACATCTAACTAAAACTGCTTTTATACTATGTTGAAAAGGAAGAAGAACAAGAAACATATGATGAATTCAAGTGTCTATACTAACAGAGTATATATTTATAATAGGAATCATTGAGATAAGAATTCATTAAGAATACATTGTTACTTAATTATCGTAGTTACATATTTATAACAAAATTATGGGAACATTAAATTAAGACCATATAACTATACATGAATGGGTAAAATTAAACATTAGTTAGTGGTTACATAGCCAATTAAAGTTGTTCATTTTTCTTTTAATATTGATTGTTCAAATAAAATCCGACAGTTTATTTTTATTATTCTCATTCTCATATAAAAAACCAGGTGTTTTTATAAAATATCTGATCTTAATAATCCTAGTAGTTAATTTGGGAGTTTCATTTCAACACTCTTCTAGAGAAGGACCAAGAAAATATTCTTTCATACAGCATTTTATGTCAAATTATCAATAACATTCCTATTAAAATTTAACTTAACCCTCTACATTTTTGTGGTGATTTTGAAGGCTGACAATTTGCGCCAGCAGACACTGCAACAAATTCACCGAATATTGACTACTCGGCAATCAGCTCGTGCACTCCTTGCAATACACGACTACTTTTCTAGGCTGCGTGCCCTAAGCACCCTTTGGCTTGCCCGCCCAAGAGATTGATGGGTGGGAAATTACTAAATAGTGTAAAATTAATTTTCATCGATCTGGCACCACAAATACTTTGCCATCATAGGTTTTACTCCTACAGTTTTACTCTGTTGGTAGTTTTCTGATATTAGTGTTTCATTAAGTTATAATCTAGAAACTGAATTAGTGACAAGGTTATGTATTTTGTTTATTAGCAATAATATTATTGTCCATTGTCATAGCAGTTGAATCGCTTTATGATTATTTCTTTCAAAAATAGTGGACGTGATCATTTTTAATGCTTGCTTCAGTTGCGAGATTTTCCCCATCTATCTGAAATAGTAAAAAATTTTGTCCCAACTGGGTAGTGCTCAATTTGATGCTCACAATCAATTGCTCAACGAGGAGGTAACTTTCTGGTTCCAAATGGTGTCTATTCTTTAATTTTGTTGTTTAATTATTTTTTTATTTTTATTTTTTTCAATTGATTCATGTGCATTTTGGCTCTGTCTTGGGCTGTTGTTTGGGAAACTATGGGAAAATGAATGGTCACTCACTTGTTATCACATAGCAACTTATGGTTTTTCTGTTTCAGAGGATCTCCGGCGGAAGTTATTAATATCTGGAACTAACTAAAACGCCCAATCTATAAAATGAGCGTAAATAAAAAAAAAGAGAGAAAGCAAATTCTCGAACCAAACAGGCCTAGGCTTCGACAAAGCGAGGAGGAAGAGAAGTTATCATTGAAACAATGAAGCCAAAGGGGTAATAAACAAGACCACATCAACAACACATACGCAGTGGCAGTGAATTGAAAATGAAAAAGAAAAAACCCGAGAAAATATAAAAGTGCGTGGAAGGTACCAGGAGATTATCCTCAAAGAGAAACCGGAGATGGAGAGTGTTGAGGAATGGCATGGGATGTTGTATCTTGGAGGCCGAAGAAGTAGATTTTAAGATTAATTATTAATTTTTTAAATTAATATAAATAATTTTTTAAGATTAAAATATTAAAAAATTTGATGAAGTGGTGAGTTGGATTTCAGTTATTCTCATTCAACATCTTTCGATAGAGATTAAATTTTATTTTTTCATTAGTCTTCTTCTTTTAATGAGGTGTTTTATATAAATTTTATCACATAAAATTTTTTATTTAAATTCAACATATTCTCATTCAACATACAAGACTAATTAGAATATTCATTTTGATTTGGTTAATGAGACATTTTGATGATTTTTTTTTGTTTTAAATTTATTGAATAAATATTTGATATTTTAAATTTTAATATACTTAAAAAATATTATTATTATTATTACTATTATTATTATTATCATCAAGATGATATTTTGATATTTTGAGGGTTTAAATATGTTTTAACTACCTCTAAATAGATTTATTTTAAATTATTACCTATTAAATTTTTTAAGATTAAAAAATTAAAAAGTAAAAGAATTAAGATTAAAATTGCATGCTTAAATCTTAATTTTTTATTTTCTTAATTTTTTAAAAATAAAATATTAATGTGAATTCGTGACATGAAAATTTAAGAGTGAAGTGGAAGAGAGAGATTGAGGGTATTCCGGGGCAGAACTGGGGCGGAACTGGGGTTGTCTATGTCTAAAGCTTTAAGTATATATTGATAATCCCCATAAGTAAGGATGGGGATTCCGTGGTTTAAGCCCAGTTCCTTTAAAAAGTCATTTACATTTGACTTTGAGGGAAATTGTGGAGGAAAGCCAATGCTGCTATCCCTGATCCAAACAAGCCTTTTGGTCTAAAAAATAGAAGGGCCCTCCGTGTCGATTCATCCGAGCTATCTTTAAGTAAGCGCATCATTAAGTAGATAGTCGTTCTTATCTAAAGGCATAGGTTTCAAACCAAATAAAGAAAGAGTGGAATAAGTTCTTCCAAACTGACTTTCATCAACGATCTACGACCACTCTGATCTAAGGCGAAGCTGATCATAGACAAATATCACAAAAACAAGATTCCAATAGTCACTTCCTTATTCGATAGTACACTCTTTCGCTTATTAACAAGACTTCCGTCGATTTCCCCTCGAGGTTGACCTCACATCGCTTTATTCACATACCTATAGTCAAATACGAGAATTAAGTCAGGGGTGGCTAAAAAGCGATTCTTTCCAAATCCCCCACCTTAGAAGAGAAGAGCCAGTCTCCCTTTAAGCTATCTCTTGTGCCAGAATTCAGGCTCAAGGCCACTTAACGAGACAAAAAGAAAGAGATTCATCTCACTCCCTCGCCTTAGATGTAAGCTTGTCTGCTATTTTATCAAAAACCTCTCTTTGGGATAAATGCGGTGACATGGCAAGAAGAGAGATTGGGAGTGACGTGACAATATGTTAGTCACATCAGATGAAGGTTAACGTCAAATATAAAATTTTAAAAAAAAATAGTTAGACATTAAAATGAAAAAAAATTTAAAAGGTAGTAATTTGAAACAAACCCTATGTCTTATTTAAAGATAGTTAAAACATATCTAAGCCATATTTTGAGTTGCTTGCACGAGTAAGTGTGAAAGGCTTTATCAATTTTAGTACTTATTTTTAGATTTAAACTATTCTCAATTTGTCCTTATATGAAAAAGTTTGTAGATTCTTCTCTATTAACAGAAAATCATTTTTGTTTTGGTCTATTGCCAGAAAGTCGAACATAATTTCAAAAAAGTTTGTATCTAATTTGTAGTTGCATAGGTAGGTGAGGCAGCGATTGCTAGTCTTATAGGTACTGTGAAATTTGCGACAAAAATGTGAGTTCGTCAGGGTCTCTAAATTTTTATACTTTTGTTTACCGCACGCTGAATATCAACCCAAGATTGTTGCAGTTTGATGTTTAAAATAGATCAATTCTACAAGGACATTACTTTTGTCGTACCCATGCAATCCTCGCCTAAGAGATGGCCAAAGATTATCTACATGGCTTATATTATGGATGTTGAATCCAAAAGGAAGAAAGGGATTCCGTGAGGATCAACATAGAGAATGATGAGATGAGGTAGGAGGATCTAAACTATAGTTGATATGAGGCTAAAAAAAGGAGGTTGTGGAACATAAAAGAAGGAACCGACGTTGTGCAATGGATCCACTCGTACAGACTACATTAACTTTTTATCCAAAATTGTTTAACACGGTGGAGTATATTTTTTGGTGTGTGCTGTGTGGTAGTCTAAAATTTTTATAGATACAATATCTAAATAGTTATACAAATATAAAAAAAACACGTGTTAAGTTATAACAAATATATACTATATTATTAAATAAAATTATCATTTAAATATATGACTAAGTATTATTGGTTGAAAATATTTATTAAATGGTATCTTAAAAGTTTTTAAAGGTATTACAAAATTTATCATAATTTTTTGGCCTTATACCTTTACCTAGATTTTATGAGTGTTCTAGAAAGTTTGTCTAAACTCTATATAGGTAGCCTCACTTCAACACTTATATAGTTGAATATCTCAAGTATGCACTATAGTCAAATGCACCACTCGATTTTGAGCTATAGATTCATGTACTCATCCTCTAACATTGTAGTGACATACTATTCAACGAGACCTTTGATTCTCACCCTATTATATAAATCCAAAGTTTTTGTCATCATAAATTTTCTAAAAAAATAATGAAAAAAATAATTGTTAAAATCAATTCATTGACACGTTCTTCTCAAAATAGAATATACGTGTGATACAAATAGTATCACACATATTCTCTCTGAGTTTCTACCTATGAAATACATAGACAGGGAGTTTGTAGAGTTGTACTTAAGTATCATCTATCAAAATATGTATCTTTAGATAAAAGTCTCATCTAGTAATGTTCTTCGCTATCTAAGAAGTCTTCTTTATCTTCCATCAGAGTATCCCTTTATTCGGTGTCATATGACTCACTTGGTTATCAAAGAACATCATCTACATCATCATTAACACTTAGTTCATCTGATGTGTACATCATCACAAATAATAAAGAAAGATTTTCTAGCATGAATATTAAGCAAATAATCATACAGTTTCACGCTCGAAGTACAAGATCAAAACACAATCCATGCAAAATGCAATGCATGATGTAGATTCAATTATAAATTAAATTTCTTATTTTATGTCTCAAACCATGCATGTGGGGCTAAACACGCTTATGTTTCAACACTTTATGCAACCATCATTCGTAGAAAGCAATTGAAGGACTCCATTGCTTATTGGTACAAACACTCAGCCAAAACATCATTTCATTGACAAACATATGTCCCATGGGTGAATGAACTTATCTCCATATTGGTAATGCTTGCCTGCATTAGAAAGACGAAGGTTTGTTGGTGACTAAGTTCAACCAATAGGGGTGACTCTGTGCTATTAGGGCATCACCTTAGACCATTTCTAAGGTTTCATTAAAACTTGGACACTCAATATCTCACAGTTGTATCAAATTATAATTTTCATGACCACATTGTCATTATACATATGATGAATGTCTCATAAACTCTACTAAGTTCATCACAATTTAGCATTATTAGTTTTACTTGTTCCTTTCAATATAAAGTCCAGACAATTAAGGTCATTCTAATTAGAATATCATTGCTTGTCTTATGCAAGATCTATCCCATGTAATCCATATTTATTAAGCCTCACAAGACTCAATCACAACTTTAACATATTTCATTTTTTGTACATGTTATGTGGGTTCTCAAAAATTATAGTTTTATGTAAGAAATATTTATTTATAGATTTAATATAGGGCCATAATATATATATATATATATATATATATATATATATATTCTAGAAAAAGTTAGGATACTAAGTTTCTATTACATAGCCAAATGGAGTTGTAGTATAATAGGTATGCATTCTTGTTAATAGTTTCTATTCTACGTAAAAAATGTCATTGTTACACTACTCTCACTTGTAAATCCAGCCATGCACATAACTAAATATCTGTGTTCATCATCAATGTACATCAAAATAACAATACTATCAGTGGTGATACATATTAAGTCATTCAATGTGTTCAAAGAAACAAACAAGACATACAAGATTATATTTTTACTCAACCAACTAGCCATGATCATATAACATTATTGAGATAAATATAAGTTTAAAATAGCTCGAAAATCATAGTTTCACATTTTCTACAACCACCTGCAAGGAGTCTCCAATGTAGGACCTTATTTCATACTTAGAGAACTACCAAAACATAAAAAAAATAGCCTCCCTCTTGTACCTGATGGTGTT